TCCGATAAATTTTGGATTAAAATTAATCCTAATCTAGGTGTGTGTTATACCTGTATCATTCGTGGCCTTTTTGGAACAGGACCTGAACTGGTAAAAGAAATCGGGTAAAAAATAATTTATGGTAGACGCTCAAAAATGATTAGACGAAAATTATCCGAAAAAGAGGAGGGAAAAAATTTTAGAACTAAAAATTTGCCGAAACGACTTAGAGGGCGAGTTGGATTTAGGGGATTTTGTTAATTTGGAAATATTAGATTGTTGTAATAACAAACTAAGCACCATAGATGTTAGCAAATGTATTCTTTTGTTTCAGATTGAGGTTGACGGAAACGAAGAATTGAAAAATTTGTATGTAAGCAATCTTTCAAAATTAAGATACATTTACTGCGACTATTCCTTTCTTTCCAATATCATAGGGTTAGAAAAAACTTCAATCATCCTCATTTGAAGCGAAAAAGGAAAATTAACCCAAGAACAAATTTCCAATCCGAAAGAAATCTGAAAAAATTTAAAAGGTGTGGCTAAAAAACATTTTCCCGAAATGGCTTTGATTAACATTTCAGACATAGATGAAATAGCCGAACAACTAAACAAGCAAACAGCCAACGACCCCGATTTTTTAAAAAAAACCTTTAAAATTAGCGAAAAAGAAGCCCAAAGAACGAAGGGGGATTTTTTTCTAATGTATTCAGAATTAGTCTCGCGAATTGTGGCCCGTTGCTGCATTATCGAAAATCGTTTTTGTGAGGGGAAAGATGAAAGTTGAGAAAAGGAATGAGAAAAAGCATTCAGCAACACAGAAAAAACTTTAGGTTTTCCGCTGGGTAAAGCAATGGAAGGAAAAAGAGTACTTACAATTCCTAACCGTAAAGAATTAATTAATAGAGTTTTAAATGGTGATTGGCAATTAATAGAAAAAGTAAAAGATTTGCCGTGAATTGAAAAAGTTTGAGAACAAACCAAAACCAAAGAAACACCGAAAATTAACGAACAGCCAACCCCGACCGACCCGCCAATTATCTCGGAGTCAGAAAAAGCCCCTAGTTTTTGAAAAGACCCTGTTGGAGCCATATATCATCCCATTAAAACTAAATGTCACCAAGTTAACAATTGAGTTTCCGACCGCTTAACCGATATGGGAAGCATTTTCCTCGGCCTTATTATTCTAATACTTGGCCTTTGGTTAGCCTGAAAAATTTTCGTAAATTTCATTAGCAAACTTATCACCAAAATTCTCAACAAAATTTTTGGTTAACAAAAAAAGAGCCAAGAATGAGCCTATTTCCCATACAAACAATCTTTTTTTATTCCACATTATTCCGCAGGCACCAATTTTTATTATCTGTGTGTAGGGAGGGTGGTGGGCCATTCCAAGCAAAAAAAGAAAAAGCCTTGGGAGCCGAAGCAATTGTCCCAATTGCGAAGGCGTTTAAAAAGTCGTGGCGGGGATGGTGAATGAGAAATGAAATTTGGAATGAACCGTGTTACTGTTAAAAAAACAATGCGGCCAACCAAAAAAAACCCCTCTAAATAGATAAGTCGGAGATTTTCCAGGCCGAGCATTCTCGTATTTTTAATGGGCTAAAACGTAAGGCTTTCGGGGACACATTGTGACAAAAAAAATAATATGAAAAAACCACAAAAAAAATACACTATCCTAGGCGGAGTTGCGGTCAATTCTCAACAATTAGCCGAGTGAGGGAGTTGCGGAGGGAGACCTCGGAAATGACGAACAGCAGCCGAAAAAAGGCGGTTTTTTCGCCAAAAAAAGAAACTACGGGAAACGGGCCAGGGATTAAGAAATTACCGCCTAACTGAAACTAAAACCTCTACCATTCAGAAAGGTTGAATTAAATACAACCAGGATAACCAAGGAAATTTACGCCCTCACTCGGCCTTGGCTTATTGTAATAAATGCCAAGGCCTAGGCGGTCCGGATTTACTAGGCAGCCAATGCCAATCCTGCCATAACGGCGAATACGAAATTAAAACTGAAACTATTACTAGCGCAATTAAACGAGCTATGACCGCACAGGAAAGAAAAGCCAAACAAAGAAACTCCCAAAAAATACAAAACCAGTGAAGCAAAAAAAATGTATAATAATTACATAAAAGAAAATTTGCTATGCCGAGTTTAGAAAATCTAAATCGTATCTTGGTTTTTTATGAGAATTTGGTTTTCTTCGACCAAGCAATGAATATGAGGTTTTTCGGTTTTTCAATCTTTTAATAATTGGTCTTCGGTGTAATTTTTTATAGTCTCCTCTCAATCGATTTCGTCGTCAGAAACTTGACTAGTTCAGTATTCTCGGATTTGGTATTTTCAACTATTAATTAGATTACGATTTTTTTCCATATTGATAAATCCGTAAGTGAAAATATAAGGCAATTCGGTTAGTTTTTCCTCTCCTGGTGGCCGAAAAATCACGATTAAGACTACTCCGCCTCGTGCCATTCTTTCCCTCAGTTTTAGACTATTATTCATTTCTTTGGCTGGCACCAATTTCTTGTCAAAAATGTAATGGGGAGTAGCGGCAATTTTCTCACCCGAAAGAAAAAACTTCTTTTCTCGGGCTTCAACCACCTCCCCGTTAGCACAAACAAAAACATTTGTAGCCGCCACCCCCAATTCTTCAGCCAAGTAGCCGTGATTTTTCAGCATCCGAAAATCACCGTGGATAGGCATTAAGTAAGTTGGATTAACTAGTTTGAGCATTAATTTTAAGTCTTCTTGGCAAGCATGTCCGGAAGCATGCAATAGGTCTTCCTTGCTATTTTCGTAAATTTGGGCTCCGAGGGCAAAAAGTTTGTTACTGACTATTTCCACGTTCAGTCGATTATCCATAATCGGAGAAGAAGTTAGAATAATGGTATCGCCTGGTTCAACTTTTCAGCCCGGATAGTTTTGGTGAGCCAAACGGCTTAAAACGGCTTTTTCTTCCCCCTGGGAACCCGTGCAAAAAATAATTAATTTATTTTTCCGAATTTTGCTAATCGAGGCGGCCGGCAAAAAAACTGAACTGTCGATAGGTCATAAACTCGCTCTTTGAATAACTCGCATCATCCGCAGCAAAGAAGAACCCAGTAAAGCAATTTTTTTCTGAGTTTTTTGGGCAATTTCAATGACTTTTTTTAACCGGTAAACATTAGAAGCAAAAGAAGTAATAATTACTCGCCCGGAGGCTTCCGTAATAATACTTTCCAAACGCTTGATTACTCTAATTTCCGAAGGGGTATTTCCCTCTATTTCCGCATTAGTTGACTCGCTTAATAATAAGTCTACTCCTTTTTTTCCTACTTCGGCTAACTTGGCTAGGTCAGTTTTTTCTCCGGTTTCTTTCCACCAATCAAACTTAAAATCGCCCGTTAACACCAAGCGAGATTGGTCGGCTATTACTTCGACAATAAGACCAAAAGAGCCAGGTATGGAGTGAGTTACCCGGAAAAAACTAATGCGAAATTCATTAGTGCGAATAATAGTATCATCAGAAAATATTATTAGCCGGTTCTTATTTCTAACTCCTAACTTCTGTTTTAAATAAGAAATCGAAAATTCCGAGCCATAAATAGGAATAGGAGGAAGAAATTGTAGCAAATAAGGTATCCCGCCAATGTGGTCCTCGTGAGCGTGAGTGATAAACAGACCTTTAATTTTCTGACTATTTTCTTGTAAATAAGTAAAATCCGGTATAGCCCCATCCGCTAAGTTATTATTATTGATAAATAAGACTCCGTAATCCACAATAATTAAGTCCTCACTTTTCTCAATACAATAACAATTTTTTCCTACTTCGTGTAAACCACCCAAAGCAAATATTTTTAAATTACTCATATTGTTTTTTTAAGACTTTTGGGACGATTCCATCCCTTCCCCGCACAACAGTTATATATTAAGTTATACTAAATTATGTTGATAAGCCAAACAATTCGCAAGAAACAAAAAAGGTTGCAGAAAAATTCTGATAATTGTTTGTGAGATATACAAAGATTAGAAGGGGAATATAAGGAGAAAAGCCCGAGGATGGAAAGCAATAGTTGGTATAAGAAGTTAACCACATTCACATAAACTAAATAACAGAGTAATTACAATGCTTTTACATTTTATATTAAAATTAAATTTATTAGATTTTATTCTAATAAAACTAAAATACTTTAAAACAAAAGTAGAATTATGAAAAACGTTCAAAATTGATTAGACAAAAAGTATCCCAGGTATTTGCGGAAGGACACAAAAAAGTTAGATATGAGCAATAAAGGTTTAGAAGGTAACTTGAATTTAACTGATTTTACTAGTTTGGAAGAATTAGATTGTTCTTACAATGAACTAACGGAAATAAATCTCAAAAATTGCCGACAATTAAAAATACTCAAATGTAGCCATAATAAATTGGGGCAAAATAAATTAATAGGATTGGATTTAGTTGGCTTGGAAAAACTACAAGAGTTGTGGTGTAGTAATAATTATTTACAATTTCTTGATTATTCGGTCTTAAATGCCGAAAAAATGACTCTAATAAGTGTTAGTTCTAATAATCTCAATCTTTTCGAAAAACCGAATTTAACGGTTTTTAATCGCTTTGTTAATTTAAAAGTGCTACAAATTGGTAATGAAGATTCTGCCAAGGTGCGGCGAGGAATTTATAATCGTTGAAATAATTCTTTGGAACAATTACGAGATTCTAATTCAATATCGTTAGGGATTGCTAATACTGACATAGATAAGGGTTTAGAATATTTGCCGCCCACTCTGAAAACAATACATTGTTCTGATGACTTAAAAGAATTCAAAAATTGAAGGGTGTCCTACGTTTTGGAACAGTTAAAGCCTTACAAGAACAACGAGATTAGCGAGGAAAGTTATAACTATTCGGTGTGGAGAGAAAAAGCGAAAGACTTACTGGCCGGGGAAGAAATTTGAGAATTAAAAGCAAAAATTAGGAAGATTATCGAGGTATTTGGCCACGATGCCAAGAATTTGGATGAATTGGAAGAGTTATTAGCCGGACGAACAGTTAAGGAAGTTATTAGAACCAATCAAGAATACCAGCAAAGAATAGACTATTTAGAGAATGAAAACAGATTACTCCGTCAAGAATTTGAGAAATCGTTACTAAATAATCCTCCTAACCAAGATAAAAAATGAGGTTGAAATCATCCGGGAGGGAGGATGGAAGAAGGAGAAACACCAGAAGAAACTGCAAAAAGGGAAGTTTGGGAAGAAACTAATATAACAGTGGAAGATTTAGAATTAATAGCCACTGACGACGTTATTTTTGCTGACTTAGAGCCCGGTAATCAACACTGAAAAGCCTATTTTTATCGCACTGCTAAATATTCTGGTCAAATTAAAAGTAAAGAAAAAGGGAAAATATTGAATGTTAAGTTTGTTGATTATCACTCGTCTGAAGCCCGAGAAGCCCGTCAAACTTACCACAAATTTTTTCGCAACTTCTCTCATCTCTAATATTTTGGCAGAGGCGACAGGATTCGAACCTGCATCCTCGGGTCTGAAGGCCGATGCTCTAGCCGTTGAACTACACCTCCGAACTTTCTCTTATCCCAAAATTCTAACAAAAGAAACTAATTTGGTGACCCGTACAGGAATCGAACCTGCCAAATATAGGGATGAAAACCCTACGTGTTAAACCACTTCACCAACGGGCCACAATTTAATTATACACAAATGCCCTTAACTCTTCGCTATTCAAATAACCCCGATTTTCTTTAATTTTTTTGCTATCTTGAAAAAGGAAGAGCACTGGCACAGACTGAACATTAAATTCTGGCCTCTGAGCTAAATCCCGAAACTTTTCTGCATCCACTTCTATCACCAGCAAAGCATTTTCTTCCTTTAATAACCCTTGAAGATTTTCTTTTAATTTTTGGCAAGGACGACATCATTCCGTAGCAAACTTAACCAATATTTTTCCATCCTTCTGGTTTAATCACAAATTAAAGTCCTCAATTCTTTCTAATTTTTTTAGCATGACGCGATAACGCGAAAGGAGTAACAAACTACTTCCTTTATCTTACTTATAACTCTTCTTCCTCTTCATTTTCTGCGCCATCCTCTTCCTTAATTACTCATCACAAAAATCCTATTACACCTAAAATTACTAAACCAAAAAAGATGTAAGTCCCTCACTGAGATATTAATGGTCAATCACCATATGATTGAAAATTATTAGTTCCAATTGAGAAGTCGGTTTTATCGTTACTAAATTTTACTTCAGCATCCTTATTATAAATAACGCTATTTACTCCAACCAATTTTCTTTGGTTTTTCAAAAATAGACCACCTTCTTTTACTTCAAATTTTATTTCTTCTTCTCTACTATAACCTTCAAACTCAGCCAATTTAACACATCTAACGAGAAGACCTTTAATTGCGACTTCTTTTATACCATTACCTTTTTCCGTTGCCTGTTCATTAGCTAATTCATTCTTAATTAATTCGTCTATACTATGTTCTGAATCCTCAATAATAGAAATCTCATAAATCCCTATTTTTCCGTCTTCTTCTTTCTTCTCTATGATTTGAGTTCATTCTTTTCCGAGTTTGTTAATTTTACTTTCGTTGTTACTATCGTTCATATATTTGTATTATTTTTTATTATTGTATATATTTATTTATTTCCGCCGCCGGAGGATAAATTTATTGGATAGTTTATTTTTCTTCCGTGTTTTCTTACCCAGAGTTTTTTTCCCTCAGGGACTAAGTGGAGAAGCGTGACCAATAGGCTGCTTTTCTTTACCTCCGTGAGGATGGTCACAAGGATTCATGGCTGAACCTCGCACTGCCGGACGAACCCCTCGCCATCGACTACGGCCAGCCTTACCCAACCTAACTAAATTGGCTTCACTATTACTTACTTTTCCAATTGTCGCTCGACATTTGGCTAATATTTTTCGCACTTCTTTGGATTGAAGACGAACCAGCACGTATTTACCACTTTCTTCTCGACCAATTATTTCCGCATAAGTTCCCGCACTACGAATTAATTCACCACCCTTTTTTGGCTTTAATTCGAGATTGTGTAAAGGAAAATTATCAGGGATAAGACTTAATGGTAAATTATTACCAATCTGGACAGTAATTTTCTCATCTTCTCCGCTTAATACCATATCTCCCACTTTTAATCCTTCGGGTGTCAGAATAAATCCAAAACTCCCGTCACGGTAACTGATTAAAGAAATAAAACAATTGCGGTTTGGGTCATACTCGATGCTTGTGACTTTTCCGGCCACGCCATCCTTAGGGTAGCGTTTAAAATCAATAATTCGGTAAAATCGGCGGTGTCGTCCTCCTTGGTGCCGAGTAGTAATTTTCCCTTGATTGTTGCGTCCAGAATGCGATTTAATAATTCGAAGTAATTTCCGTGGGGTTTTTTTATTACTGGGGGTTAATTTTTTGCGATAATCGATAAGAACAGTATTGCGGCTAGAATTGTTTATCGGCTTGATGGTCTTCATTGGGAAAAATATTATTATTCTTTTAATTATTTAATAATTTCTTCCTTGTGAAGTTGAGTTTGTCGACAAAAGCGACAATATTTTCGCAAACTTAACTTTGAACTCTGAGGTTTCTTAGTGCGTGAAGTGCGATAATTTTGGTGTCGTGATGCACAGTTTTGACACGTGAGAAACAAATTTATTGGCATTATCGTCTTTCAAGACTAGACAGAGCCAATTTAGTTTTTTGTATAAAATAATCCATCCGCAAATTCCCTTACGGATACCTTGTTACGACTTAGCCCCAATTGCCAATCCTACCCTTGTCAGCCGCCTCCCTTGCGGGTTAGCCAACTGGTTTCAGGCATTACCGGCTTTCGTGACTTGACGGGCGGTGTGTACAAGACTCGAGAACGTATTCACCGCCACATGGCTGATTGGCGATTACTAGCAATTCCGGCTTCATGGAGGCGAGTTGCAGCCTCCAATCCGAACTGAGATTAGTTTTTTGGGATTAGCTCCCCCTCGCGGGTTGGCAACCCATTGTCCTAACCATTGTAGCATGTGTGTCGCCCAAGGAAACAAGGGCCATGACGACCAGACGTCATCCTTTCCTTCCTCCTGATTACTCAGGCAGTCGGCTTAGAGTGCCCGGCTTAACCCGCTGGTAACTAAGCCTAAGGGTTGCGTTCGTTATAGGACTTAACCATACACCTCACGGCACGAACTGACGACGGCCATGCAGCACCGAGTATTCCGGATAACCTCCATTCGATTTCTCTCCTTTTGCCGAAACACCGTCCTTGGTAAGGTTCTACGCGCAGTGTCGGATTAAACCACATGCTCCAGTGCTTGTGCGAGTCCCCGTCAATTCCTTTGAGTTTCACTCTTGCGAGCGTACTACCCAGGCGGAGTGCTTACCGGGTTACCTAGCGACACTGAACTTACACCCAATGTCTAGCACTCATCGTTTACGGCGTGGACTACGCGGGTATCTAATCCGCTTTGCTCCCCACGCTTTCGTGCCTCAATGTCAGGTCCAGAATAGTTAACTGCCTTCGCCTCTTTGGTGTTCTTCCCGATATCTACGCATTTCACCGCTCCACCGGGAGTTCCGTCAACCTCTCCTGTCCTCGTAGTCTGCCAGTATTAGCAACTTCCGTGGGGTTGAGCCCTAATTTACCACTGCTAACTTAGCAGACCATCTACGCACCCTTTACGCCCAATAATTCCGGATAACGTTCGCCACCTACGTCTTACCGCGACTGCTGGCACGTAGTTAGTCGTGGCTTTCTCGATAGATACCGTCAAAACCGGATTTGCATCCAATTCTTCTTCTCTACCAACAGAAGTTTACAATCCGTAGACCTTCTTCCTTCACGTAGTATTGCTCGGTCAGGGTTTCCCCCATTGCCGAAGATTCCTCACTGCTGCCTCCCGTAGGAGTAGGGACCGTGTCTCAGTTCCCTTGTGGCCGATCAGCCTCTCAGCCCGGCTACGCATCACGGTCTTGGTAGGCCATTACCCCACCAACTAACTAATACGACTTATCCCTATCAATTAGCGAACCGAAGCCCTTTCCTGGCAGAAACCAGATTATGCGGTATTAGCCATGGTTTCCCACGGTTATCCCCCACTAATTGGCAAGTAAGATAAGCATTACTCACCCGTTCGCCACTGAATTGTATTGCTACAATCCCGTTCGACTTGCATGTGTTAGGCATACTACCAACGTTCATCCTGAGCTAGGATCAAACTCTTAAAAATAAACTGTAAGAATTCACTCACAGGCAACTGGCTCCATCTAGTTTTCAAAGAGATATTTAATATCGTTTTCTGTTTACTAGGAGAACAATTAACCTATTTATTATAAATTTACTTTCATTTTTATTTTCCCAATCCCGGACTAACTTAAAAGAGATATTTTTCATCAAAAAAAATTCTACAAAAAACAAACCGGACCAAAAATCATAAAAATTCGCTTATTTTACTAAATAATAATATAAACATAGTAAAAATAATAATTATATATGACGAATGAAAATAAATCCAAATGAAGAAAATCTCTTACTGAATATAAGGACGAAATATTAGTGGTAACCTCGGTATTGAACTTAATTTTAATGATTATGGCTTGTGTCCTTCAAATATTACATTTCTTATGATTTCATTTTCCAAAAAACTAAACGGGAATTAAAAGGTGGGGATTATTAACAATTTCTTGTAAGCAGTCAATTAAACGGTCAATATCACCCTGGTTATTGTATATATCAAGAGAAATTCGCAAAGCCGAATTAGTCCCAATAACTTTGGCCAAATAAGGACAACAAAAATCACCCGCCCGGAGTAAAATTTTTTTTTTTCCAAGATAATCAGCAATATCATGGGCGTGATAACCAGTCAAGTTAAAAGTAATAATATTAGGAGAAAATTGCTTTTGGTTGTAAATAATCAGATTGGGGATTTGTTTTAGTTGGCGGAGAGCGTAGTTGCGGAGTTGGATTTGTTGGAGATAGTCTAATTTATTTGTGAATTCCAAACCGGCTCGTAGACCAAAAATTTGGGCTAGCGGTAAAGTTCCCACTTCAAATTTTTGCGGTAAAAATAAATCCAACTGGTTAATTTTTTCCGTCGGATTATCTTTTTTGCCTCCTCCTCATAATAAGTGGGGTAATTTGATGGCCAACTGTTTTTTTAGTCAGAGAACCCCAATTCCGGTCGGGCCATAAATCTTATGTCCGGCTAAAACCAAAGCATCAATATTTCACTCGGCTATGTCAATCGGGACATGAGTAATACTTTGGCAAGCATCCACAATGATTAGACATTCCGGATTTATTTTTTTGATTTTTTGAGCAATTTCCGCAACCGGATTAATAGTTCCCAAACTGTTACTCAAATGAAAAAAACTAACTATTTTCGTTTGCTGATTGATGTAGTTTGACAATTGGTTTATATCAATAACAAAATCATTGGTGAGAGGCAAAAAAACTATTTCGGCTGTTTTGGTTTGAGCGGTGGCTTGCCAAGGATAAAGATTAGAACCATGTTCTAAAAGCGTTAGAGCAATTTTATCTCCCGGCGTTAGGTAATCTCGTAAGGACAAAGACAGAATATTTAAGGCGTAAGTAGCCGAGGGAACAAAAATAATTTCTTCGGCTCGGGCCACAATTTTTTGGGCGACTAATTGGCGAGTTTCTCGGATAGTTTTCCATACTTGCCGAAACCAAGGATTATTATTTTCACTATGAGAATTAATAGAATATTTTTGATAATAGTCAACAATGGCTTGGATTACTATTTTGGGTTTAAGACTAGTTGCCGCACTATCTAGATAAACTAAACTTTTTTGTTCACTTAAAATCGGAAAAAAAGAACGGAAATTGTCATTCATGTGTTTTACTGTATTTTTTTTTAACTCATTAATTTACAATTCCTCCTTAACTTTGTTTGTGATTATTTCACCTTTTTTAACTTACCAAAAAACTAACCACTAATGTTCCCAATTCTCGCTGTGATTACGACTTCTTCTTCTTATAATATTTTTTGTCAATAACAATTCCACTCGCCACTCCCACTACGAAAGCCGAAATAACTAAGACGATGGTAGTTATGGTGGATAGGCCGTTTTTTCGATTTTGATTAATGGCTGGTTTGAAATTCATATTTGTGCTTTATAAAATTTTAATAATTATCTTCGGATTAATTAGTTGACATTTTTTTCTTTTTTGGTTCATTAACTTTGTGGTTTTTCTCTTACTTGTTTCGCAAAAAATAACTATCGTTTTTTTCCAAAAATTCTATGGCTTCTTCAAGGTTATGAAACTCGTGATAATCATCCTCGTGGTTAAGATAAAAGGTTAAGGCATCGTTAAGATTTTCATTCTGAACTAAATTATGATTTTTTTTAATTACAATTCAAGGGCCAGTTTTTAGGAAATTAATCAATTTGGTTTTGTTGCATCGAGAAAAAATAATGGACTGCCTTTCCCTATCTCATGGTTTAGTAAAGCCAACTTTCTTTTTTAAATATTCAATTAGAGAATTTTTCATGTCTAATGACGAAGAACTCTCATTGTCCCATCCCTCTTTTAATTCTGCTCGCAAACGAATAACCAATCATTCTTGTAATTTTTCCCGTTCTATCAAGGGATTACGGGTAAATTTGTTTAGTAGTCTTTCTTTTTCTAGTTTGACTCGTAATTTTCGTATTTTTCAGCCATTATTAATCGTAATTCCGCCATTAGTCGCTAATAAAAAAGTCAAAATGATTAAACCAATATTGGCATATTTGATAAACCTTCTCTTCTGATTATTTTCTGATTCTAAATCCATAAACTATACAACAACTTTCCAAAATTTTATTCTAAGATTTCGGTAATAACTCCTTCTCCGATAGTAATTCCACCCTCGCGCATAATGAAATTATCATTTTTTTTGATGGCTACTGGTTCAATTAAATCGACATTGAATTCGATTTTACTACCCGGTGCTACTTTTTTCTCGGCTGGTAGTTCCACAGTTCCGGTCACGTCGGCCGTAAAAATGAAAAATTGGGGACGATATCCACTTTCAAAATGACTGTGACGCCCTCTTTCTTCTTTGCTTAAAATATAAGCCTGAGCCTTGAATTTTTTATGCGGAGTAACCGTTCCGGGAGCAGCTAAAACTTTACCTTTTCTTACTTCTTCGTGTTTAATATCTCGTAAGCAAACCCCGATATCATAACCAGGCTTGGCTTCCTCTACTTCCTTCTTAAACATTTCTATTCCTTTAACTACTGATTTTTTCTTGGGCCCAAATCCTACTATTTCTACTTCATCGCCTTTTTTGAGTTTTCCTTGGCTAACTTTCCCGGTAACTACTGTTCCTTGACCGGTAATACTAAACACATCTTCGATATACATTAAGAAAGGTTTGTTTTCGTCTCTTTTGGGAATAGTTATATGATTGTCAACGGTTTCTAAAAGTTGCAAAATTTTGTTTTCCTCGTTAGTGTCACCTTTTAAGGCTTTCAGAGCCGAAGCAATAATTATCGGAGTTCTCTCTTCTCCTTCTTTGTCGTAGCCATATTTCTGTAAGTCGGTTCGAATGTCGTCTTCTAATAAACTTTTGGTATCTTCGTCTAATCCGTCACTAGTCTTATCATTAATAAAAACAACAATTCTTTCTATACCGATAGTTTGGGCTAAAAGTAAGTGTTCTTTGGTTTGAGTCATGCTACCATCGGCCGAAGAAACAACTACAATTGCTCCGTCCATTTGGGCAGCCCCCGTAATCATATTTTTAAGATAGTCAGCGTGTCCCGGGCAATCAATCATGGCATAATGTCGACCTTCGTGTAAGTCAAAACTGTGCTCATCTACTTCCTCACCTAGAACCATTTTTCGATAATAATTTACGAGCCCAGAAATAGTTTTGAATTCGATGTGAGTAGTACTAATAGTTATTCCTCGTTTTTTTTCTTCGGGTGCCTTATCAATATCACCATAGTCCTTGAATTTGGCAAGGTGTATTTTGGAAAGTGCTTTCGTAATTGCCGCCGCCAGAGTGGTTTTGCCATGGTCAACGTGACCTATTGTCCCAATATTTACATGTGGGAACGAACTATCGTATTTTTCTTTAACTTTTTTTTCTGCCATATTATTAATTTTCTATATACTTTTTAATTGTTTTGATTAAAATTTTTTTATTTTCTTTATTATATATCAATTCATATTTAACTCCGCAACTCTTCTTTATTTGTCAATTGTAGAGCTTCTCGACCATCAATGGATTTTTTTCTCTGTGGTCTTTTTCTTCAAAAAAATAGTCCCAACTTTTTTTTTATAATTATTCCTCAAAAACTGCATTCCCTTTTTCGTCTTTTATTCACAGAACGCGGTCAGCAAATATCGAATTCATGTAACGTCCACGGGTCATTACTGCCAGAATTCACCCAATTCGTGGTTTACCCTCGGTAATTTGGAGCAAAAAATTCCAAACTTCCTCTTTCAATTCTGATTTATAAAAAATCACATTTTTCTTTCAACCATCAACCTTAGTAACAAAACTGAGATATAATTTTTTTTTATCACTTCCTTGTAAATTCCATTCGCCTGTGGTTTCAAATTCTAAACTGACCATGTTTTTTTAATTTAAGTATATATAATAAATGAAAAGGAGAGTCTTTTGCTTGTATTTATTTACTAAAAACTCTAACTTCTTTTTGTGGCCCGAAATAATTCAATTAAACAAGCAGTAATTTGCGTAACGGTTTTTTCTATTTCTAATTTTTCCAAAGTTTTAGTGGAACTTTGAAAGACTAAACGAAAACTGACTGATTTTTTTCCTTCTTTAACCAATGCTGGGTTTTGATAAACATCAAAAATGCTTACTTGGCACAAATCTTCTCCTCCCGCTCGCTTGATTTCCTTAATAACTTCGTTATAATTGATATCTTGGGCAAAAATAAGCGACAAGTCTTTTTCGCTAGCAGGAAAATTAGAAACAGGAAGATGAGAAATTACACGGGGAAACTTAGTCAGAAAATGAAAAATTTTAGTTAAAGAAATTTGGGCTCAGAGTATTGATTTTTCTTTCCCCTTATTAGTTAATCCTAAATAACCAATTGTTTTTTGGTCGAGAGAAATCTCGGCTAGCTTCATCCCTCAACTCAAATCCGAGTTATTAGGAAAAAAAGATATTTCCTCTTTAACCAACAAAAGAGCAAAAATATTCTCTAAAATTCCTTTGAGTCAAAATAAATCAAGTTCTTGGACTAATTGGTGGACCGGTTGGTTAAAAATTTTTCCCGTCGCACTCAAAGTAAGTAATTCTTCTGACAACATTTCTGATTGGGTTTTTCCGTAAATCGAGGCAATTTCGAAAAGCCGCAAATCCTGGCTGCCGTGAGCAAGATTGTAATTAATAATTTGGTTATGACTAGGAATTAAGGATTGTCGATAATAGCGGTGATTTTCACTTTTAGGAAACAATAATTGATAAAAGTCCTTGGCAGGCGGAAGAAAATCTTCCTTTTCTTTTTCGGAAATTAGAGAATAACTAATAATTTCTTGTCAGCTGTTGTTAACCAAAAAAGCACGAATTTTTTTCTTGGCCCAGAAAAAATTGTTCTGATTACTAACATTTACTTTTTGCCAGGTTGGTAAAGAACTCGGTATTTTATTGTAATCGTAAATTCTTAATATTTCCTCTATTAAATCTTCGGCCCTAGTTAGATCAGAGCGATAAAAAGGAGCGTTTAAATAGTAAATTGGACCTTTCTTACGAAAAGAAAAATTTAATTTTTTTCAGGTTTCTTCTAATCAAAGAGAGGAAATAGAGCAACCAATTTTGCCTCTAATAAAATTTTTGCTAATAGCAATGAGAGATTTTTTCTTTTTTTTAGCAGGAAGGTAAGTCGAAGTAATTTCAATCTTTGTTTCGGCTCAACCACTTAATTCTTGGATAAGAGAAGTTAAGTAATAGAAAGAAGAAAAAGCCTGTCCAGTTAAATTGACTTCTTTTTCGAAATATTGACTAGATTTAGTAGTAAGAGCCAGGCGAGAGGAAGTAGACTTAATGCTAGGCGAAGAAAAAGTTCCACATTCAATAAGGATATTTTGGGCGTGAGGAGTTAGAGAATTTTTTTTTGCACCGATAACCCCTGCCAGACTAATAATTTTTTGCCCCGAACTAATCACAATATCATCTGCACTTAAAGTTAATCTTTGTCCTGAAATAGTAATCATCCGTTCTTTTTTCTGGGCTTGTCGCACCTCAATTGAATTTTTTTGAGGCAAAGTGTCGTAATCAATCAAATGGAAAGGTTGTCCGGTTTCCAACATCACCAAATTAGCCAAATCTACTACATTATTAATCGAACGAATATTATTAGTTGCTAATATTTTTTTTAGGACGGGAGAACTCTCTCTAATAACAACATTTTTGATTAGCCCGCAATGAAATTCGGAACAATTATCAGTGGCGATATTTGCTCTTATCCCCTTTTTTTCTAGATTTTTTTTGTTGGTTAAGGAAGGCAACTTAATTTGGCAATTTAACAGGATACCTATTTCCCGAATAATACCCCATCATGTTAATAAATCCGGACGATTAGCCAGAGTAGTAAATTCCAAGTAAATATCTTTTTCTTGGGTGATTAAATTGGTTTCAAGGCCACACGCTGTTAACTTCTCGGCTATTGCGGCTGGCTGAGGGGAAGACAAAATAAGATGTTTTTCTAAATACTCCCAAGGAATTAAAGGCATGCTGTTATCTGGTACGGGATAAGGGATTCGAACCCTTAGCATCTAGGTCCTAAGCCTAGCGCGTCTACCATTGCGCCAACCCCGCCCTTCTGGTGTCCTGTGGAGGGCTCGAACCTCCGACTTTCTGCTTAAAAGGCAAACACTCTACCGACTGAGTTAACAGGACTTACTTTTGTTTACTTTATATTTTTTTTGCTAAAAAAGAAATAATCATACTAGATAAACATTAAATAAATGATAACACATATGGCGAATTCACAATTTGATTTATCACAATTATCTGAATGAGAAAAAAATCGTGACTATTACTGAGGGCGTTTGATGATTACATCCTTTTCTCTTTTTTCTTGAATTGCTTCTTTTGTTTTTATTATTGCCTCCGTCATTTTTTTCGAAGAATTACTAGGTTGAAGTGAAAATAAAGCTAGGAAAGGGGGTTTTTATGTTTTTCTTGTTTGGGCAATATTACTTTTAATTTTTTCCTTCTACTATTTAGTGCAATGAATAATTTTTCTCAACAAAATTCAAAAAGCAAAAAAACGACCAAATTTAACGGAAGAGAGAGAGAGAGAGAGAGATTAGAATTCTAAGTTTGAGTCCTAGTCAGAACGCTTTTTTAAGTAAAGGAAAGTCCATTATTAATTGTTTTAACTGGAAGCATTAAGTTATTAATTGTTTTTCTTTAATTAGTTTGGTTAAGGTGTCAGACGGAACTTCTTGGTAATAAGATAATTCCATGTTAAATATTCCTTCTCCTCCGGTGGCATCCAGAAGGTCAGCATTATAATTAAGTAGATTGGCCAAGGGAACATAAGCTTGGATAATGGGGTCTTTTTCACTTCGGTCTACTTTATCAATTACTCCTTTCCGGGAAATTATGTCGTTTAAAACATCCCCGTAGTAATTTTCAGGAATAGTCACTTCTAATTCCATAATTGGTTCTAGTAAAACCATCCCTAGTTCTAATTTTCTTTTTCTTCTTTCCTCTTCGCTGTCTCCACGAAACGCCAAAACTGCGGCTTCTTTAAAATCCTCTTTGCGCGAATCGACTGGATGAGTCTTTCCATCTATCAAGGTGGCTTTAACATCGACAGTTTTATAGCTTAGAAGTAAACCGGCGGCCAACGCTTCTTCTAATCCTACTTTTACATATTCAGCAAATTCTTTGGGAATTGCTTCACCCCGGATTTTATTAAGGAATTCTAACTCTCTTTTTCCCCGTTCTTTGGGTTCAGTAGAAATCGGTTCGAATTGAATAAAAACCCGAGCAAAATGCCCTCGTCCTCCGCTTTGTTTTATGTATTCCGACTTAATTAGGGCTGGTTTAGTAATAGTTTCCAAATAAGAAATTTTAGGCTGGCCGGTATTGACCTCAATTCCGTATTTTTCTCGTAATCTTTCTATCGAAGTTTCTAAGTGTAACTCTCCTCGTCCCGAAAGTAAAATTTGACCAGTTTTTTTGTCAATTTGGTATTTCAGTCCGGGGTCTTGAACGGTTAATTTTTTCAGAACTTCGCTTAGTTTATCATTATCTTTATTGGACTTGGCTTCCACAGCTCGAGAAATAACCGGCTCGTCGAACTCGATACTTTCTAAAAATCAAGGATTATCTTCTGACCCCAAAGTATCACCAGTGACGGTTTGTCGTAAACCATAGGCAGCAGCAATGTCTCCCACCCCCACTTGCTTAATTTCTTCTGTTTTGTTAGCGTATACTCGCACCAAACGACTAATTCTTTCTTTCTTTCGCTGGTTAATATTATAAACATAAGAGTTAGCCAAAATCTTCCCCGAGTAAACCCGCAAAAAAGTAAGTTGATTATCAAATTTGTCAATGTCGATTTTAAAAGCCAAGGCCAACGGCAAGTTAGAATTTTTTTCTCAGACAATTTCCGTATTTTTTTCTAGTTGTGCCGTGTTTTTCTCGAACCGAGAAACAAGAACTGCCGGAGCATCCTGAGGAGAAGGCAGATAATCTACTATTCCATTCAAAAGAAACTTCACTCCCACATTCTTAAAAGCCGAACCGGAAAAAACCGGATAACATTTGCCACTTAAAGTTGCTTTACGGAGTAAGTATTTCATTTCCCCGACAGTTAATTCCTCTTCATTTAAGTATTTATTTCCCAATTTTTCGTCGTATTCAATAATCTTTTCTAGTAATTCTTGGCGATAATAGTGCACCTTTTCTCAGTAATCAGTAGGGATTTCCCCTAATTGGTAATTTTCCTCTACATTCCCCAAGCGATAATAGTAAGCCTTTTTTTCAATAAGATCGATAACGCCTTGTAGATTGTTTTCTGATCCGATTGGCAATTGACAAACTAATGGTAAAGCATTTAATTTTTCCTTAATAGAATTAAGAGTAGTGAAAAAATTAGCCCCTATCTTATCCATCTTGTTAACAAAGATAAGTCGTGGAATACCATATTTGTTGGCTTGCCGCCAGACTTTTTTGGTTTGGGGCTTAACTCCTGTTTGTCCGTCAATCATTATTATGGTTCCGTCTAAAACCCGCAAACACCTTTCGACTTCGGCAGTAAAATCAATGTGACCTGGTGTGTCAATGATATTAATTTGACAATTTTGTCAGAAGACAGTAGTGGCAGCGGAAAAAATAGTAATCCCTCGTTCTCTCTCTTGTCGGTCATAATCCATTTTGGCACTTCCTTCATCTACTCGGCCAACATTGTGTGTTCCTCCTGCCAGATAAAGTATTTGTTCGGTAATAGTAGTTTTTCCATGGTCAATATGTCCGGCAATTCCGATATTACGAATATTCTCCAATTCTGGCATATATAAATAAAATTTAGGCATTTGCACATAACCTCAAAAATAATCTTCAATTTGATCAAAATGAAAGAATCGCGATAATGACGAAATATTTAAAAAATTGTTATCTTTTTTTTCTGACGGTCGGCGTGCCCTTTTTCTTTTTGTTGAGTTAATAGTTCGTTGAAAGTAGTAGTAGGAAAAGGATGATTTTTCTGGGCTAAATATGTCTTAATCAAAGGTAAGGGAATTCCTCGCGTATCGTATCAAAAAAATACGTCTTGGGCCGTAATACTGGGCGAGTAATAGTTATTTAGTTGGTCTATGGCTCCGCTAATTAGTCTTCGAGATTTAGTAAGTTCTTGCTTGACATCTGATATTATTAAGTCTTTTTTTTCTAGTAAATACGGATAATAAGAGGAATTAAGAACAATCAGTTTTTCGCTAACGGTTTGTAAACTTTCTCAATTTAGATTAAGAAGGTAAGATAATAGGGCCACTTTTTTGGCTAATTTTTTCAGAATATAACCACGCCCCTTAGATTCAAAAATTGCCCCGTCAGCCAAAGCAAAAATTATAGTTCGCAGATGGTCGGCTATAATGTAATAATTGCCATTATTAATATTAGAGTTTATAGTAGTCATCTTTATTTAAATTTAATTGTTTTGTAGAGTTTGCCACCCTTTAACACCTCAGAATAATTTTTTCTGTTTTAAACAAACTTGTTAATAAAAAAAGTCGTGATAATCACTATATTAACAAGCGGAAAAATTCATAAAATAAGTTTAATCAAGTGCTTGTGGTTCAGTGGTAGAATATTTGATTGCGGTTCAAATGGTCGGAGGTTCGATTCCTCCCAAGCACACCAAGAACTTTTAAGAATGCAGAATACTAGTAACCCCTTTTATCACCAGATTTACACATTCCTGGCGATGAGAAAATTTAATTAAATCACTAAAAACCTTTAAATGGGGATAATCATCCAAAAAATAATCTTCTCCTTGGATCATTTTGCGAAAATTGGTTATTATTTCCTGACTAACTGCTGAATTTTTTCCTGCTAAATAAGAAAACAAAATATTGCTGCTACTTACGGTGAGAAGGCAAGACTCTTGACCCGAAAAATAAATCTTTTCCAAGTTGTTACTTCGCTTTTTGATAAGTAAATGAAGAATATCACCACAACTTCCTTCCTTATTACGAAAAGTGAAAAAAGGGATTTGTCATTCCTGACTAATTTCCTTTAACTTTGCTAGTTTTACTTGGTAACTAGGATAAGAAAAATTGTCTAGTATTATTTTTCTCTTTTCCTCAGGGGAATAAACCATAATTCTTTTATTTGAATTTTTTCTAAACGAATTGCTTCATTACTTACGTGTAAGCAGTTGCTATATATTTACTGAAAAAAACTTCTCCCCTACTGTTTATCTTTTGCCGGAAATTAATTAAGGTTATCCAGACCTAACTTGTGAATGGCTTTGCCGGCCGCTTGCTGTTCAGCCTCTTTTTTACTAGAACCGCAACCTATTTCACAAATAGTGTTTAATTCGTCTCGCACTTCCATAACAAATACTTGTTTATTGCCGATTTTCTTAGTTTCTTTCAAATAGTAATCAACTTTGTTTTTTTGAGCTTGGAAAAACTCCTGTAAACGACTTTTGTAATCTCAAATTAAATTTTCTTTACCCTTAACCCACGGAAAAAGGGTTAAGCCGAGAAATTCGTAAACTATCTTTTCGCCTTTTTCTAAGTATAAGGCTCCCAGAAAAGACTCAAAAATATCAGCCAAAATGCTAGTTTTTACTGCTCTATGATTGTCTTTTTCCGCCGCTCCTAGTCGCAAAAATTCGGCGAGACCACATTCTTGACTTAAATAAGCCAGAGTGCTTTCTCGCACCATTAATTGTTTGAGTTTGCTTAATTGTCCTTCGGAAAAATTCGGAAAAGAACGGTAAAGAAACAAGGCAGTAGCAAAACCAAGTACGCTATCCCCCAAAAATTCTAAGTTTTCATAAGAAAAATCTCCCCCTGACTCGTTTTGGAAAGAAGTGTGGGTAAAGGCTTGTTGAAAATGACTAGTGTCTTTAATACTGTCAATAATTTCTTTAATTCGTTTCGCTAACATGAATTTGACCAGTTTTTTGGAGTTCGGGTTTGAGAATAAAATAGTCCCAACCACTTAAATAGCAATCGATTACGTAGATTGTTTTTATCCCCCCGCTTTCTGAAAAAAAAGCCCCTTGATAGGTAGGAGTAAATTTTTTTAACAAATTCAGAGCTTGGCTCCGCTTTTCCTCGCTTGATGAATAAACCCGCAGAAGGAGAGTTTGGTCGCGAGGAAAAGTCCAATTCATAAGACGTGGTGAAGCGTAAATATAGGCTATCACTCCCCATAAACGCCCGTTTTTAAAAATGTATTTAATAAAAGCAAAAAGAAAAAAAGAGCTCTGTTGTTCCTCAGTGAAAAAATCTCACAAAGTTAAAATAAAAAGGACTGCTACACTAAAATTTCTGCTTCACTTCTTCAATGAAGTTAGAGGTTTTTTTTTCGTGGCAAAGTGAGCGGTAATAGTCTCAAATCCGCTCGGGGCCGCTTGAACTTGGAAGATAATACTGTAACCTTGAACGTGAACGGCAGCCGCCACCAGGCCAACGACCAAATAAAGTGGTAAAGTCAAAGGCCACAATTTTGTGTCAATCTTGCCGAAAAGAAAATTTTCTAATCCCAATAACCAAAAAATCCCAGTTCAAAGTGCTTGAAATATAATGTAGAAGAGAGCAGTTCCTACGATTTCTAAATTAGCCCGATGCCGCTTCCAAAGACTATAAATGATCATTGAATTAAGAACCAAGCTTATCCCGTAATAAACCAAGTAGAAATTAAAAGTTCCCACTGATTCAGTTCCAACTAAGCATTGAGTTATTTTTTTCAAGAGACCATTCAAGCCCGGGTTATAAATACGAAGAGGGTCCATTAAAAAATAAAAGGCGGCAGTGGTAAAAAAAGCCCCCATTCCTACTATAATCAACTTTTTAATTAACTGGCGGGTAATTAGAAGAGAATTGGGAGAGTGAGATTTTTCTTTGATATGAAGTGAACGAACGAATTGGTTATAATGGTTTAAAACATCTCTTAGTTGGGTTGCAATAACCGCATTTTTCTGAATAATTTTTCTTTTAGCCATGATTCAAGTTGTTTAAAAAAGGGATGAAGGGTGAAAGTTGGTTAACAAAAATATAATTAATTTCTTCTTGGTTTAAAGAGTTGTGAGAGAGGAGTATTTCAGTCAACAATAATAAAACTTTTTTCTTGGTCCAAAGAATAAACCGTACTTTTTTTCAGCATTGGTCAAGTATTTTTTCTCTTTCGACCGCAATTTTTTCTTTGCTCTTTTCGGATGACTCAGTGGCACTTTCCCCCCTTCAATAAAAAAACTCGGAGGTAGGAACAATTCCTAAGGATGACATACCGTGATGAAAAATGAACTCGCTAACTAATTGCGAGACTTTTTTAAAATCACTATGGGCACCGACTGTAATATGCTCAGAACCAAAAATTAACTCTTCGGCAGCTCTTCCACCTAATAGTCCTTTTACTTGGGCTAGAATTTGATTTTTACTGATTAAATTATCATCGCCATGTTCGCCGCGTAAGTCGATCCAAGTGTAGCCGCCCGCGGTTCAGCGTGGCACAACAGTAATTTTTTTTACGCTAGTTTCGGGCAAACTTAGTCCGATTATAGCGTGTCCAGCCTCGTGAAAAGCCACAATTTTTTTTTTGCTGGGGTGAATAGTGTGACTAAGAGAAGAAGGTCCCATAAGGACACGGTCATGAGCCTCAAAAATGTGTTCTTGACTAATTTTTTTGTGATTGTAACGCAAACACAAGAGAGTAGCCTCATTGAATAAATTGACTATTTGGGCCCCACTAAATCCTCGGGTTAAGGAAGCCACTTCTTCTAAATCAACATCCTGCCGAAAAGGAATCTTGGGGGTCGCTAATTTAATAATTTCTCTTCGGGCTTGGAGATTAGGTAAAGTGATGAATATCTGGCGGTCGAAACGTCCGGGACGTAAAAGGGCAGCGTCCAAGACTTGCGGAAAATTAGTGGCAGCGAGAATAAAAATGTTCTCGCGGGGATTAAAACCATCTAGTTCATTCAATAACTGATTAAGAGTTAAATCGTTACTGTTGTGAGTATTGCGTCTTCTGCCAATCGAATCTATCTCATCGATAAAAATAATGCAACCATTAGGATAACTGCGGGCTTCGGCAAAAAGTTCCCGTATTCTTCTTGCTCCCAAACCCACTACCATTTCTTCGAATTCCGAACCGGAACGGAATAAAAAAGGTAGTTGGCATTCTCCAGCCAGCGCCTTACCTAACAAAGTTTTACCATTTCCGTGTGGTCCTACTAGCAAAACTCCTTTGGGCAATTTGGCTCCGCTTTGCTGAAAAAGTTGGGGATTACGCAGAAAAGCCACTATTTCTTTTAATTCCTCCTTAGCTTCTTGACAACCCCCAACGTCCCGAAAACGAAAATTAGTAACTTTCTGGGCTACGGCTCAATGTTTCCCTTCTCATCATTCAAAAAGAGAAGTTAATTGTGCGAAGTCAACGTTGAAGACCAATCATAAGAAAAACAAGGAAACAAGAACACTTATAATCGCTTTATGATTAAACCAAACTTCCCAAATTAAGCCTAATATAAATAGTAGAATTAAAATTAATATTCCTTTTTCTTTTAATCATTTTTTTTTTCTTACTTGTTTTTTTTTTATTCTAGTGTGTTCCATTAAAATACTAAATCAGTTATTATAGTAGTTATTTTTATAATAAGGCTTTTTTAGAGTTTAACAGAGATAGCAGTATTACTATTACCAATAAGTTTTAGATTTTTTTAGTATTATTGTCCTAATTTAGAGGCAACTATTCTTTATTTTCCGCATTTTTTTTCTTTTTTGTCAGCAAATAAAGCACTCCTGATAACACTGTCACTACCACTCCAACTATTACGACTCCCACAAAAAAATTACTTCTTAATTCCTTTCTAATAATTTCCCGGAAAGTTACTCCTTTTTTAAATCCTGGAAGAAAACGAACAGTACTCAAGGTTCAGGCCACGGCCAGATCATAATCTTTACTTCCGAATTTTTCTCGCCGTAAAATATTTCTCAAATTAGTTTCCGTTTTTAATCCGTCAGCATTATAGAGCACTTTACAAATGTAAATGTCAGCCAAAAATTCATCAATACGCTGAACTAACACATCTTTGTTTTTTTGTTTATCATTGTCAAAATGGAATTTAAGGTAATTATCAGACGTAAAATCATTAACCATATTTTGTCAATTTTTTGTTCAGGTGGATAATTTGCGAATACTCTCATTTTTTAATTGGGAGATTTCCTTCCTTATTAATGGTTCCGCGACTTCTTTTATCTGTTGAAGAGTTATTTCGTCTCGCTTAGCTATCTCTTCTCGGTAATATTTAACACCTTCAATTTCCATAAAAAACTTTTTTAGTTGTATTTCTTCGTTTTTTTTTTTTTTTTTGCTATCCGTTACTATGTATTTTAATTTTCTTTTTTTTCAACTATAAAAAAAATGTTAAGTGAAAAGAAGTTGGTGATATAATTCGGGGAAGAAATTTAAGTGAACGGGATTAGGACTTCTTTTTCTGCTAATTCTTAACAACTGCTTATCTTTTTTTATTCATTTTAATTTGCGAATTAATTTGTTTTCTGGAGGTCAAGAAGGCGGTCAACTCCATTTCATTTTCGGACGAATTTTCTTAACCGAGGAAGGGGAAGAAATTTGATTTAAACTGTTAACTATCCTTTTTCTGGCTTATTTTCCTTTTAAGTTAGTAGTGCAATTAATTTTAGATTTTGGGAGAAAGTATGCCGGAAGAGTGCTTACGGTTTACCTAACTAAAAATTTACTTATTTTGTCTACGCAAAAAAATTTAGTTATCAAGAATGATTTTTTTGACCTGATTTCCGATTTTTCTCAACAACTTGTTGCCTTTTTTAGCAACTTGGTTAGCACTATTACGACTATTTTTTTAGAAATTTTTTCTCTCTGCTTTCTCGTTATAACTCGCGATTTAATTGACTTAATTAATCTAGTTGTGGGATTCAATTTCCTAACTTTGATGTTTCTGGTTCTGTTCCGTTTTTATTTCAATTCCAGCATTAAGAAAAACGAACGAGAAAAAAAAGATTGTCAACAATCTGAAAAAACTCAACTACGGAATTTTCTTGCTAGTGCAAACCATTCCAGTCCATCTCCTAGTTTAGAAAATATTTTTTTCTTACTCGACAGTAATTCCACTCAACTTTTTCTTCATTTTTTCAATTCGGTTCTTTTTCGTTTGCCTAATTTGTTAATTCCGGGCCTCAGTATTCTTTTTCTCTTCTTTTACTACCACTTTTATCCCAAAAATCATTCTATTAATTGAAACGTCTACTTAATCGCTCTGGGCTGCCAAAACTTATTATGAAAATTTGGCCGAATGCTTGATTTACTATATTCCTGAAATGCTTTTTCTGAGAGTTATTTACAATTAAAAGATAAAAAATTGTGATAATTATGTCATAATTATAAGTGTTGTGCCAAAGACAAATTATCCTCGTATTTTGCAAGAAAAACAAAAGGGGACTCGAACTCCTATCGGAACAGGAGAACAAAGATGTTATATTTGCAAAGAAGTAACTCAAGAGGGAAAATGACTTATGGATATGACACGAAGACCTTTTGTAATTAGATGAAGATGTGATAAAGATAAAAAGTTATGTATTGAAATTGGAAAGAGAAAAAAGTTGGAAACGTCTCTTGAAAGAAGCAAACAAACTACAAATCTAGTTATCCAAGTCCAATCCGATTTAAATCAACTTAAAGACAAGCAGGAGAAACAAGAAGAAAAAATCGGGGGTTTTAGAAACGCGCGTAGCAATTTGGTGAGAAATCCAAAAATGATGAGAAAAGCGACAACTAACCAAAGAAGAAAAACAATTAGCTGAAATCCAGGCTCGGGAACGAAATATTTTCAACCACACTAAACCCCAGAACTGAATACTCTATGCTTTAATTCTTTTGGCTTCTTTAATTGCTGCTATCAAATATAAACGAAGACGGCAAAAAAACCGCTTAAAAAAGTTAAAAAGTGAGTTTGTTGACCTGCAAACAGACATTGAGAACAAATTTAAAGAATGAAGGCTTAATATTTTCCTCTGCG